GTTTTAATATTTTAATTTTGAATATATAAGTTACATCCTCTGGTAATCGATTACATGTATTGGTAATCGATTACCAGACTTATAAAACAAAAATTAGTTTATTAAAAACTTAAGATATAGAAAACTTTTATTTTCAAAACCTTATTAAAAAAATTACATTTGGGTTTTCTTGAAATTCTTTATTTTAAATGGAATTTCTTTTTTACATATAAATCTAGGCTGACAAGACTTATCTAGAAGATACTTTGAGATTTTTGTTTCCTGATCACCTTGCTTTAACTTGACCTCTTGTTTTCTACAATTTCTTTGACATCATCAAAATCTTTTACATACGTTCTTCCACAGAAATCATGTTTGAGTAGTCACAAAATTAACAATTATGTTATGTGTATAGTAAATTGTAATGTTTTTATAATATTTTGTAGTACATTGTAATGTATTTATATTTGTTAAGGAATGAAAATGTATACAATAACATGAGGAAGAAGAATGATTAATACTTGATTTCGTAACAGGTGGTAATATAAAGGATGTTTAGGCAACTTTTTTTTTAGTAATTATGTTATTAATATAAAGTATCCACCAGATACGCCAATCATTACTCCATGTGGTACAAATTGATTGGTCACCTTTAGTCTTATCTCCCTATCACCTTTTTTCATATATAGAACTCAAACCTAAAACTTTATTTAAAAAGATTGAATTTAGTATCTGTAATGACGCGCCGTGGCCGTCACACTATGAAACAACTCTACACACTACTGAAATATATATACTAAAATAGTATAATAAAATATTTACAACACAAGTTGCTAATCAAGCAACTAACAACAATCAGTTATATACAACAAAGTATGCTACTATAAGGTAGCCTACAAAAAAATATCCATCTCTAGGCACCTCTTGTGGCCTCTAGTAGCTATCTCCCAGCCTATCCCTACCCTGCTCCCATACAACGTATGATCATCGTAGTCCAAACCACATGGAAACATGCAAGGGTAAGCTAGAGACAATAAATAACTCATAAATATCAAATATGAAACACAGCTATATAATCATCTTCACATCCGACACAGAAGATAAACAACACATATATTATACATCTTAACATCATTTCAACTTGATTCCACATATCAACGTTGTATCAACACTTCAACGCAACTACTGTACAAACTTTGGAATAGTTATCATATTCATCATAACAACAACCAACACACGTGTTACACACCTCTCAACAACACATGTTTAAAACAACTTACAACACAGGTAATCTAGCGACACTAGCATTATCATCAACTTGTATACAATTAAGCAACTTTCAACATAGCAGCACTATCATCATCCTCAACAGGATCAACATACAACACAATCACAGCTTAACAACACAACAACATAGATACAACTCTTATCAACAACAAATCAACTCATCAACAACTTATGCGTTGTCACGCATTTCAACTCGGAGATCTCCTACAACGTGGTAAGTAGTCTAAGTGGCTAGATCCTACCGAACCGATAACACAGAACCTTTTTGGGCTTGCTAGGCAAACAAAAAATTTAGATAGAAATCCACAACACGATAACAATTTCTCAGACTTTGCCACTTAAACAAGGAAGTATAGTACTCGGTTAGGAACTAAGTTCCCGACTTCGTACTATACTCAAATTGGTTGCTTTGTAATCGGTATAGCTCGACCTTGCCCCTATACCGTGGTCGCTTTGTAATCGGTATAGCTCGACCTTGCCCCTATACCGTGGTCGCTTTGTAATCGGTATAGCTCGACCTAGCCCTATATCGTGGTTGCTTTGTAATAGGTATAGCTTGACCTTGCCCCTATACCATGGTCGCTTTGTACATGTGTGCCTCGACCTTGCCCACACACAGGACCAACTAAGTCCTAGAGGAGAACAACACAACATCCACTCCAAGGGACAACTTTCCAAGGAGGGTTTTCAATAAATTGGACTCTCAGAGCACCACAACTATCTCAATCCGCACAATGGGATGAGCAACTTCGAAAACATCTCCTCTAGTCCTAGTGATCAACAACTTATCATCACAACTGAATCAGCTTACAACTCAACAGTTTATTAGCACAACTCATAATTTACAACTCAATCATCATAAAATAATATTTTTTCAACATATGGCACAACATCCAACTTTATAGCAACATACAACTCTTCTCTAACAACTTAACAACATGGTCTACTAATAAATTTTGTATAAATCTCAACACGTCTACACATTTCACATCATGCTTCTCACAACTCACAACATTATCATTTCATCATATTTTACAACATATAAATAATCCACACAAATATAGCAGTTTTAGCAACATACCATGTATTCAATGCATTTTCTATTTGGCACAACTACTCATTTAGTTTACAACACTATACTCAACATGCATCTCTTCATTTCACTTTCTACTCATCATACAGCTCAATATAATTATACAACTCCATATGAGTTCCTAAACTCACATACAACCAAACAACATATAATCTAGCTTTCCTTACCTGAAGATTGGCTCAAAATAGCCAAGAATTGAGAAGAAGTGGAATTTCCTTTCCGAAGCTCAACCCGGGACTTCAATCCATCCAAAGCAAGCTTCCTAGTCTAGAGTTCTTCTCTCTAAAACTTCTCTATAAAAACCTCTCCTTCTCCTCAACTACACAACCTCTATTTATAGAAGTCTAAAGTGGCCAGAATGGCCTGTTTCAAATCTGGAACAGCCCGTTCTGGGCTCCTTCATCATGTGTAAAATTCACATGCAAAATAGCCCGTTTTGGCATGTCTAGAACAGCCCGTTCTGAAGTTGAATTTAACTCACAATGACCATTTTGGAACGGCCCATTCCAGTCCAAGATTCATAGGCTTATTTAGTAGTTTGGAATGGCCCGTTCCAGTTTGGGAACGGCCCGTTCTGAGCTACTAAATCACCCTTGTTTTTGTAGTTTGGAATGGCCCGTTCCAATCTAGGAACGCCCTGTTCCAGTCTACTAAGCCTTGCGAATAGTCGGTGGGCAAACTCCACAAGTGACTTGGTAATGCATGCCAAGGTCGTGGTAAGCTTGTACCTAGCTGTGCTATACCTAACGGTGGATTCGGACTTCCAGTTCTGTAAGTTATGACAAATGTCCCTTATATGGCTTCATTGAGACCTTCGAGATGTTGAGAGATTTGAATATTGAATCTTTGAGCTTTAAATAAGAGCAAATAGAAGAGAAAAATTAAAAATGGGGTTGGATGTTACTTGGAAGGGAAGGGGAAAATGGGAAAAGGTCATGCATGAAGTGCAAGAAAATATAAATAAATAGATAAAAGAAAAGTGTTAGTAACACAATTTTTTGTTGATACATATTTTATTTGTTAAAATTTATTAAAAATTTAAAAAAAATATGACAAAGATTTATTAAATAGGATGTGAGATTTATTAAATTTTATAATTTTTAATAATTTTTTTACCAATAAAAGAGATTGTCCATAAAATTTTTATAATTTTTTTTAGAGTTTTAGGATATATGTGTTTAAAATTGTTTTCCATAGGTTTTATGAAAGTTTTAGCATTCTCCCTCCCTTGTGGAATGATCCGCTACCAAAATTAAGGACTAATAGGGTTTAAGATGTAACGACCCGTCATGGTCTCTACACTTAGTAGAATTATACTACTACTAGTGAACTAAGAGAATATTAAAATTGGACAACTCATATACACAGATACACACACACACACACACATATATATATATATATGTGTAAGTAAAATAACTGAGTTTCTATGTACAAAATATAATATCATATATGTATAGTCATCCCAAAATAACATCACCCTAGTGCCGGTCAAGCACACACAAAATAGGTAACTCTAACACTAGGACCAGAACTCCTCATCTCGCAACGGTCACCTCAACTCCAAGCTAGCCTTGACCTGCTCCTATACCAAGTATGATCATCGCAATCCCACCACATGGAAACAGAAGGGTAAGCTAGAGTTCAATAAACAATCATACAAGTATAGAACAAAATCTATACTACATATTCAACCAATCAAGTTCTAAAGGAACTCTCATCTCAATCAATCATCAATTTATCAAACATGAAGTCACGCCACACACTTCATCATAACAATAATCATGCAATAACATGCAACTCATGACAGATATCAATGTATATCAATCATCTAATGCATCGTCACGTATACACCTAGGAGATCTCCTTAACAGCAGAGCAGTATAAGTGACATCCTATCCTACCGAAACCACCCAACCATTTTCATGCCCAATGCACCCGCTCAGTCATAGCTAAACAGGATATAATCCTCACTCGGGTTTACTCGGATGATTTCACTTACAGAACTGGAAGTCCGAATCCACCGTTAGGTATAGCACAGCTAGGTACAAGCTTACCACGACCTTGGCATGCATTACCAAGTCACTTGTGGAGTTTGCCCACCGACTATTCGCAAGGATCCACACACCTTCCCCAGTACTTGGTTAAGGGAATAACCATAGACCTCATACTCCACTTCAACACTAGCTAAAGACTTAGAGGAGACTCACCCAAACCAGTGGCCTACCTGAGCGCCACTCTCATATATCAGTAGCCTATCCAAGCACCACTCTCAAGAGACTCTATATGAGCTCTTCCAGTTCGAAAACATTTTCCCTCTCCTCAAGTCCTAGGCTAGACTCATGCCAAAGGCATCACATGCAATTATGCATCACACATCATACATGGTCTACCCACCATCATGATCATTAATCATACTCATGCCATAAGGCATCACATGCAATAATACATCATACATCATACATGGTCTACCCACCATCATGATCAATAATCATACTCATATAAACATATACACATGTCATATCATATTTAAACATTCATATATATCATTACCAAGCATACATATGAATCACACCTCACCATACATCATATATCATACATACATGATCAAAACTTCAACTTAACATGCATTAGCATCATTTCATTCATAAACATGTTCACGCCCGGGGCAGCCTGAGCACGCCCAGCCTAATCCCAACTCGAGAGTCCTAAAACTCATCAAGATCTTCACCAATCCAGTGGACTTGCCCATCAACTCCTTTAACTTGTAATCAATCACAGCTATCGGTCTCTTCTCATAAGTCAGGTTCTCCTTAACTTGAATCTCACCCATCTCAACTACATGACTTGGGTCATGGACATACTTCCTCAACTGTGCATGAAACACATGTTTCCCCTCAGCAAACTCCAAAGGCTTTCGCCTTTTATCAACATATGACTTCTGTCTACTCTGGGCAGTCTTCATACTCTCTTGAATCAACTTTTCTTTCTCAGTAGTCTGTACGACTAACTCCAACCCCACAGCCACTGATTCACTATCTTGGTATCAACACAAAGGAGTCCTACACCTCTTACCAGACAGGGCTTCAAACGGTGCCATCCCGATACTAGCATGAAAGTTATTGTTATACATGAACTCTACCAGTAGTAAGACTTCCTCCCAACTCCCCAAGTAGTCTAGCACACAAGCCCTCGACAAATCCTCCAAGGACTGAATTATCCTCTCTGACTGACCATCCATCTATGGATGATAAGCAGAACTCAACATCAACCTCGTTCCTAAGGCTTGGTATAGACTCTGCCAAAAATCTGAAAGTGAACCTCGGATCCCTATCTGAAATAGTACTAGAAGGCACCCCGTGCAACCATACTATTTCCTTCACATACAGCTATGTCAACTTCTCCAAGGATCACTTGATATTGACAGGCAAGAAATGTGCACACTTGGTCAATCTGTCAACTACAACTCAAATAGCATCATTATTCCTAGTCGACTTAGGCAATCCATCAATGAAATCCATAGTGATACTATCCAACTTCCACTACAGGATCTCCATCATCTATAATTAAACCACCAGAGTTCTGGTGTCCAACCTTAGCCTTCTGACAGGTCAGACAGGCCGCCATATATTCGAAAATGTCTCTCTACACTCAGAATCTTGAGGTAGGCAAATTATGCCCTTAAGCAACTACTCATTTAGTTTACAACACTATACTCAACATGCATCTCTTCATTTCACTTTCTAATCATCATACATCTCAATATAATTATACAACTCCATATGAGTTCCTAAACTCTCATACAGCCAAACAGCATAGAATCTAGCTTCCCTTACCTGAAGATTGGCTCAGAATAGCCAAGAACTGAGAAGAAGTAGAATTTCCTTTCTAAAGCTCAACCCGGGACTTTAGTCCACCCAAAGCAAGCTTCCTAGTCTAGAGTCCTTCTCTCTAAAACTTCTCTCTAAAAACCTCACCTTTTCCTCAACTGCACAACCTCTATTTATAGAAGTCTAAAGTGGCCAGAACGGTCCGTTTCAAATCCAGAACGACCCGTTCTGGCACGTCTAGAACGAACCGTTCTAAAACTGGAACGACCCGTTCTAAAGTTGAATTTAACTCACAATGACCATTTTGGAACGGCCCGTTCCAGTCCAAGATTCATAGGTCTATTTAGTAGTTTGGAACGGCTCATTCCAGTTTGGGAACGACGTATTCTAGGCTACTAAATCACCCTTGTTTTAGTAGTTTAGAACTGCTCATTCCAATTTGGGAACGTCTCGTTCCAGTCTACTAACTACGTTACATTATCACTCTTAAACCAATGACTTATTAGTGATTTTTGGACAATATATATTTTTTAATAGAAGCTAACAATATTTTGATAAAAATTAAAAAATAATAAAATAATATATATTTAAATTTGTTAAGAAGAAAAATATTTTTTAATATAAAAGAGTATGATATAATATTCATACCTCTCATTATAAAAAAATAAAAATAAAAATAAAGTATAATGTACTAAAACATTTCAATACATCTTAATTAATGAAATAAAAATATGATACTATGATAATATGCATATAACATAGTTGGAGTTTGAGGATGGTAATTAGAATTGGAATTATTAAAGTAGGTAATTCAATTTGATTTGGCCCAACTCATCATGGGTCAGGCAATAAGTGGATCTACTCAACATGGCTCACCTTCAAATGAGTTTAAAAAAAAAAAATCAACTCAACTTAACCTAATCCACCACAAATTGATAGGTTAAATAAGTTGATTCACTTAAATTAAAAAATTAATTGAACTTTATAAAAAAAAATACATATTATAATCTTATATTTTAGAATTACAACTATGTTAACAAATAAGACAAATAAAATGTCAAAAAAATAGATATCATTCACAATCAACTTAATCAACTTATAAAATTAAATTTGTTGTATAAAATATTGATAAATAATATTAAATTAATACTAATTAGCATAATTCACAACTAATATCAAAATTAGACAATGATATAAATATATAATCACATAAATTAACATTTAAGAATTTAAAAATAAAATAAATAATAAAAAATATATTAGTAAGCCAACCTATTAACATGCCAAATTTTTCAAGAAGAACAAGAATAATAATTTAACTATTGAATTGTTAAAAAAATATTATTAATATTGTTTCTTCCGACAAGTTTTATTCACTTGCGAAGAATTTTTGTTTTATCTAATCATATTTTCTATATAAAAAGCTTATTTTCCCAAGATGACACGCTACTTCAATCTCAATCTCAAATCATCAAGCAACTCCAACCAGAGTTGCTTAGCTTGTTTTTAGAAGAGTTCTTAATTGGGAGCACTGTTGATAGTGAGCTGATTTGATAATTATGGTGTAAAAAAAATTAAAATATCAATCTCTAGCTCAAAGTATAAAGATGTGAGATAATATTATAAAATTCATTTTAAAGTTATGAGCAGTTTCACCATTAGAAGAAAAAAAAGTTACATCATGATGCACTATCAGTATCAAAAGTCTTACGCTGTTAATTAATTAAAATTTTATTGTTAATATAACTTTTAAAGCACTTATTATAAAACATAATTAATAATTTTTTATTAAATGATAATATAAAATTATTTTACAGTTATTATCACTATTAAATCTATAAAAAAAATATAAAAATAAAATTGAAAGCAAAAAATATTAAAATTCTTAAATATGATATAAAATAAAAACATTCACCAAAAGTGAGTTGTGGGAGGAGGGGCACAAAATGTAAACAATTAGAAATGCTCTACAAATTCTATGTAAATTACCATACCCAAAAATTAAATTTTTATGAAAATTTTAACTAATATTTGGTTTTTGTATATAATATTTTACCAAAATTTTCAATTTTTCTCTGACACGAACCTATGTGCACATGAAAGTGGCTCTTCGAGGTTCAGAAAGGACCACTTTCGCGAAGGTGCCAGAGAGAAAGTGAAGTGGTTTGCACTATTAACAAAAACGTGGAAGCGAGGACGGAGCCAAGGGGGACCTACGGGTGCCACGGCCCCCCAACAATTTTAATTTTTTTTTATATTTTTTTTATATGCTTTTGATACTTTAATTTTCATTTATTATAAATTATATATTATTTATTCTCGGCCCCCCAGTATTGAAATCCTGGCTCCGTCCCTACGTGAAAGGGTACTTATTATTCCCTTCCAATAGTCAAAAGAAATGGCATAGCATATTAATTTCAATTCGGGTTCGTTATTCTAACTTTTCATTCAAGTTATGCATCCCTTTCTTCAATCCATTACTTTGACAATGCCAATGCCGTGCACACTTCCAAACTTACCAAGAAAACACGCGTTAGAAAATAGAAATTACTTGGGACTTTTACCACTAATTAGAACGTTACAAGTTGATCCAATTGAAACTAGTCAAAAAAAAAAAAAAAAAACTTTTCTTCAATAACATAATTAAAAAAAAATGTTAATTATCAACAAAATATCAGCATCCACCAAAGGTAAAATTGTTACACGCTACCTATAGAAGAAGTTATTTTGTAGACACCCATTAAATGAATTGGATTGTGCAGAGTATATGATCCATTTAAATCAAAGAAATTCAATTACTACAATAAAATTTTGAAGGCCTAATGGCCTTATACGCCACTCAAATTAAATTATCCCTTCAATAATGTCGAGTGAAAGCTAGATTACAGTAAATCTTATATATAACTCAAATACTCATAACTTAGAAGACACCAAAATACTTAGGAAAGGGAATATGACCCAACTGGATCAAGTACAATGCAAGAAAAAAGATCATATGAAATTTAAAAGCTCTCTCCCAAATTGATCATCTTTACTTGCTGCTGCTAGGTTCCTTGACTATAGTCACAGGGCAAGGAGCATGGGTCATCACAAAGTTGCTAACACTTCCCAATAGTATCCTGTTTTATATTTTGGGGTCACAACACAGAGGGACATGTCAATGAGACCCATACTTCAATAAATGCAGATAATAATGTTCCATCTCAACAAAGAAATAATAAATTACTGGCAATTATTATAAGAAAAGTTCTCCATTGATGCGAAAATAAAAGTCACTCAAAATAAAAGCAAAATGAATAATAACAAGATAAATGTTTGCATAATCAAATTGCAAGTTCCTATAATAAAATTGAATTTAGACGTTTTGATTTGAGTTTTGTGAATTAAAAAAATAGAATAATAAATAAGATTTTGGTTTAATTTTGTGAATGAAAAAGATAGTTGAAATGAAAAGGTTTTCTTAATATGGTTGGCCAAATTTCTCAACAAAGATCAGAAAAGGTCCAGTAATGCTTTGTGATAATAACATAATTACTCAAAAATTGTAATCTCCTACTCACCCTAAAAAAAACAAAAATGTCTAAATCCATAAATATCAACTCGAAAAATATCTATCGGCATAATTATCTTGAAATTATTAGTGTGAGATGCTGAAAAACAGTATAATCAAGAAATCAGGGGACAAACCTTTGGATTGTGCTGAGGCCTCTGCTTCCCATAACCAACGAATCCAGCTTCAGATCTTCAATAGCATCCAAAAGCTTCTCTCTTGCATCCCCCCAGTATATTTTTGTAACAATGTGCACCTAAACAAAATCATTAATAATCTTAGACACAATACTAAAACATAGACACACCCAAAAAAAAAAAAAAAAAAAAAAAACTTGTCTAAATCGAATTCAATTCTGTAAAATCTCAGCAGAAATAAAAGAAAAAGACCTCTTTTTGTCTGGAAGCAGTGTCAAGCAAATCAAGAACCTCAATATCAATCTCAACACCATATTTTTTCATAATCTCAGGCTCTCTGAACTCTTGCAAGGGAATAAGAGCTTCAACAGCATAAAATCAGCACAGATCAGATCAGATCAGATCAACCCAGATCAAAAGAAAGCACAATTAAAAATACCCAAAAATTAAAATTAAAAAATAAAAATGGATACTCACGAGAACCAGATTTTGCCCATAACTGGTTGCGAGACTCGTCTAGAGAGTTGGGGTTAACGTGAATGACATAAATGGTGTCACCTTTATCAGCTAAGTTCTCAAGTGCCCATTTGAGAGCATGCTTGCTACTCTTGGAGAAATCCAAAGCCACACCAATACACCTATCCTTTGCCATGTGTGTGAACTTGGAGAAAGAAATGGGGTTGAAGTTGAACTAACTCAGGATTTTACAACCCTTTTAACTTTGGACAAAGTAACATAAAGCTTCGTATACGATGACGCGTGTATATATAATCCAACAATTTCAATCACAACATTTTGCTCCATTCATCTTTTTCATTATTCTAATTTTTGCTTGGATGGATGGCCTCGATTTATTGCGTGACGCTTTTGTTTCACACGCATACGAAAAAACATATGCTGGCATTTGTATTTTGTACGAGTAGCCCAAGTCATACAGAAAATGCGTGTTTACGTATCTTTGGACTATTTGATCCAAGAAAAGTTTTATATTTTTTATTATCAAAATATTACCTAATTACTACTTTTTATTTTTGAACTAAGATATAGAAACAACTAAAAAATAGAAATAATAAAAATTATTCTTTCTATTTATTGTATACAAAATAAATGGTCATCTTTGTCATTGGGTTTAAAATGAACTATCATATCATTATCCAAAATCAAAAGAATGTCAAATAAGCCTATGAAAAATGCAAATTGATAATTATATTAGTCCAAGCTTTAAAAAAATGAATAAAGTAATAATATTGATATATATATTCAGAAAAAATAAATAAATAGTTAAATTTTGAGACATTTTGCTACTAATAACTTTATAAAAATATTATTTTTGTATTATTAATATTGTATTTAACATATTTCTCAATTATTTTTAAATCAACGAATTATATTTCTTTCATTAGTTAAATCAACATTTTTCCATTACAACTTTTATATATGAAAAAAAATCTAATAATATGTTTGGTAAAAAAAATTGAAATAATTATTTGTTACTTTAACATTTAACATAATTTTGTAATTTATTTGATAAGATTGAAAGTTAATTCAAACACACTATCTCCTCCATAATTAAAGTCAATAAGTTGACTTTAACATATATAAAACTGAGGAAATTTGATTCACTTTACGAAAGTTATTATTTAAACAAGACCAAAGTTAACAAAATTTCATATATAACAAAATAATTTAATTAAACTCTATATATCATAATGAAGATAGCATTAAATAATTTAATTAATGATGGGATCAAGAAAATGAAACGGGTACAGAAGCAAAGGACAGAGGGAATATAATTAAGTAACGGGACAAATCAATAATTCCGTGGTTTTGATAATTTTATTTATTCAAATTCAAAGTGCCTGTAATTGCGATGCATCCACATGTCACCATCGCAATCACTCATCAGAGACTTACTTGAATCACAGCCGTTCGTTGCTGGTGTATGAGTGGGCCCACATATTTTGAGACCGTGGGTAACGATGGTTTTGCCCGCACATAAAAACGTACCATTAAAAAACGAAACATCATTTGAGGGAAATTGAAAGAAAACACGAAAGATATGAAGGTTGGAAACCCAAAATCATGTTTCGTTTTTTAATAGATGACGATGCAACAAAAATCCTAAATATCGAAAGCCATGCTTGTTATCTGATAAGAAACGCAAACCATGCTAAGTTGCGGGTTCTCGTGGCAACATCTGGTGTGATTCGCTTCATTATTTGCACGAAACTTGACACTGGCAATCTCTGCTGTGCAGTGCCATCTTAACCTCGTGGAAGATAATGGTATTTTTTTATTTAATTTATTTAATAAATTGCAAATTATTCATATTAACTTTATACCCCTGTCAATAATCAATCAAAGATTTGATCCAATTTAGTTTATATCTTCTACCCATTTAAAGATTCATCAATTAAATTCTACTTCTGCTACCCCAGAATCTACAAATCTTAGATTGGTCCAGACTCCAGACGTCTAAGAGGTCACATAGCTGCAAAAAGTACTATAACTGCTCAAGTGAGAATATTGTACAAAAATCTCTGTATAGAGTAAAATATGAACAGGATTTTATCTTAAAATGCATCTCCATTAATACTAACTATAATAGGCTTTGGTCTACTGAGCCTTAGTATTAGATTACCAACTAGGTAATACTAGTTTTAATCTTTCTTGCTTTCATTAACCTTGATTTATCCTAATATCATTGGCAAAATAAAACAGTGCATCTTAACATTAGTGGTTGATAGGGTGTTGGCCACTAAGAGAGTTGAAGGGGGGTACCTAACCGCGTTAGTAGGGTTGGGCAAAAAAAACTAAACTGAACTGAACTGAAATTGAACTGAACTGAACTGGTGGTGAACTGTACTATAAAAAACTGAACTGTTTGTAAAAAAAACTGAACTGAACTGTTTAAAAAAAACTGAACTGAACTGAACTGTTGTAAAGTTGAACTGTACTGAACTATAAAAACTGAACTGAATTATAAAAATTGAACTATTTTTATAAAAAAATAAAAATTAAATGTGTTTAACATGTTATGTCTTAATAGATTAACTCGATAGTTTAATAACCAAAATTTTAGAAAAAAAGTGATTTGAAAAAAAATTGTATCAATTTTGTTGAACTTAACAGATCAATTGAGCTATGTTGAACTACTTATTTTTAGGCTTAAAATTCACTGAGTTTGTTTGACTTAATTTTATATTTTTTTCCTTTGAAAAATTTAAATAAAATGGAAAATAAAGTAAAGTTGACAAATGTGTCCTATTTTGATAGATAAATGAGTCAAAATTGTTCAATTCAAAATATCATAACAGTTTAGTGCAGTTTAAATTGCAGTTCAGTTCAAGTTTTTATAGTATAGTTCAGTTCAGTTCAATGACACAAAAGAATAGTTCAGTTCAGTTCGTTTGAACTAATATTTAGTTTAGTTCAGTTCATATGAACTACTTTTAAGTTCAGTATAGTTTTTATAAGTTCAGTTCAGTTCAGTTCGTTTTGCCCACCCCTACGCGTTAGTCATCGATAAGGTCGAAGGACACCTAATGGTATTGGCCACTCAGAAGGTTAAAGGGTATTTAATATGAGATTGTCACATTATTGAGTGTTGAATTTCAATATAACTGACCCTTAAGACTTTAGTTGCAAGAGTTTATCCTCCAGAGTGTGACTCATAAATGCCTCCATGGATTTCTTTAAGCACATAATTCGCGTGCTTAGGTGTGACACACTTCAGCATAGGAGTTGAGAACCCCCTATAGTGCAATTCACCCCTGACCATTGAATACCGAGATGACTGTGTCCAAATTTTCTTTGTTGAAGTTATGTCATTGAGTAAGATACTCTTTATCTATCATCCATAAAGATTTCAAATAGGTTGGGTCGATCTAACTCAACCTAACCTACTGTCTGTGGTGGAATTAGTTTATAGATTTTTTTTATTCGAATTAGCACGAGAACCGTTTTAATCTAGGTATTTGACGTTCTTGAATTTTAGGAAGGATAAGAAACGGAGTAAAAAGACTAATAATTACTTGTTTTCAAATATTCATTAATGATTATCAAGCAATAATGTTCATGCATATAAATACTCAAATGAACGGAATGAACAATAAATATATTAGCTATACGAATCATAGTCCACTTCGCATAATGATCAACTTACAATATCAGATTAAAACTAATTATGAATTGAAACTAACTATACTACACTAATCCTAGAAAAAAGAAAAGAAATGTGGTCCAGAAATTAGTATCCAGCAATCGCGTGCACGGAAGCCATATTGCAGGCAGAGAGTGCTTACAAAGTGCAAGTATGAAATTTCTGACCCCCATAAATCACTACGCTTATCATATTTATAGAGCCAATCGAAGGTGGATGATTTGGTACGTGTGCATTATTGGAGGATAATCGTTATCCACTATGTTCAATACGTGGCTTAAGATGTAACTTCTCGTAACCGTTCGTCCCACGTTTTTATTTTTTCGATTCGATCTTTAATAACCACCTTCATGTGCCTTAACTGTCACAGATGTGCCTTAACTGTCACAAACCTCCGTAACTTCCTTTTGCATTTTCGAGTGATCATCAAATATGAGTATTTATAATTTCTGATGTTCCTTCTTGGTATGTGCTTTACTACTCAACTCTTTTGAGTAACACATTTATTTTTCGAGTGACCCTAACACCTACACAAGTCAAATATTATTTTAGGTTAAGTTGGTCGACTTTATATTTTTTAAGATGTCATTTTTACACAACCTAATACATGTGAGGTCATTGGGTCAAATTGGTCAAATTAAAAAAAAAAAATCATTCAACAAACTATTTTTATTTTCTTACAATGAAAAAGAAATAAAAATTATAAATGATTAATTGATACTAAATTAGAAAGTATAATAAAAAAAAGATTTTGTAAAACGAAAAATACTTTTAAGCATTCGAATTTTAATGTTTATTCCCGGCTAATATACTCACGTCACTTTTTTTAAAAAATTTAAAAATAGAAAAAGAAAAAATAATTGTATTTTATTTTTCGCATTTCAAGTTTTGGCCGGCTAAATGATATTCAAAAAAAAAAAAACTATATTGACGTATATTTCACCGAGCCAACTCCTATAAAACTATATCGATGCAGTCACAACTTTATGTCGAAGAAGGAGATCGAATTCTAATCTTTGATTAAAAAATATATAAGTTAAATTATTTGAATTAATAACTTTTAATATAAATATATATAATTATTAAAAAAATATAGAAATCAAATTTCAGTATTTAATTAAAAAACATAAATATCAAACTACTTAAACTAACACTTTGATTATTAAATATGAAACGAATGGATGGTAGTTATTAGTCAGCTTCACTAAATTATGGTGGTGATGAACAAAATATTCCGACCTTAAAAAAATAAAATAAAATAAGTATTTTTTAAATTAAAAAAAAAACCAATATTGTATTCATGGAATACGACTTCCAAACAACGTGACTTTTATTTTAAAAATAGAAAACATGATAAATTCTACCATATTCTTACGAATTTAAAGAATTTTGAAATTATATATA